GACGGCCGATTATAGAAAATGTATTGGAAATCGTGCGAAAAAAAGAGGCACGTTACGGAATTAGAACCTGCGCCCCTATGCGTCATAGTGACAAACCTTCCCACTAGGTCACCGAGCACTTATAATCTAGACCAAGTTTACCATTAAAGTAATAATTACTTTATAAGTTTTCCGTAAAAATTACAACACTAAATTATTAAGTATCAATCACATATTATATTTGTTTCGTACGAGGCAGCTAGACCGTAGGACGACTAGTCGTGGCCCGTACTAGAATGCTGTGTTACTTTAAGCCTGTTTCAATCGCATGTATTGGAACGGGATTGGGGTCATCTCGGTGAATGACGGCTAAACGCATATCCAATAAGTAACGACAGTAGATAATAATTAAATAACAAATAAACACATATGTTAAAAGTTTTTCAAATATTATCTTAAATTTAAGAGGTAACGAGGGAAGGGGGCCTTAAATCTAATAGCCGGCGGTGCGGCATAAAACAAAATAGTTAAGCTCAATTAAACAAATAATAAATAACATTAAAAAATAATATAAAAACTCAGCTGAATATATGAAGTTGTTGATAGTGATGAGTGGATTGTATGAGATCTTGTAGTAATGGTGTCGAACATCTGAGTATCACGAGTCAGAGTGTAGATCCAAGCACGTCATGGCAGATGAAAACAGACGGCGGCAATTAAGTTATTACACCATAAGTTTTGTCCATTGAAGTATTGTTAAATTTCATTTTAACGTAGAATTTTTAGTTAGTTTTTTTTTTTTTAACATGTAAACATTTGATTTTTATTAATTAGTAATTATTTCAAAAATTAAATTTGACAGGAAAAATCTAATTGTTGATTTGAAAATTTATTTATAAAAGAACAACAATGATTAGACGAAAAACTACATAGTTTACTGGAATTGTGCACCAAAACAATGCAAACATGGATAAATCCTCAAGCTTTTCAAGTAATATGACAATCCATGAAAGTTTCAACATATTCATGTAATTTTGTTCAATAATAAGTTGATCGATTCTACAATAAAGTTTTTTATTAATACTAAATTATATAACAAATACACACATAAACAATAAACAATAAAGAATCGATAATTTAAAACTTATTACTGTATACTCTTTAAATTATATAAAATAAATATAATTATTAATTATTAAAAATGTTACCATAAATTTTACACATTAAATATATATGATTATATAAATTACAACAGTGATAACAGTGTCGCTATAAACAGTGCCGCCACTGTTATACCTCCACACCTCCAGACATAAACTCCAGTTTATGTACTCAAATTTGACACGGCCCGTAATAGCGCACTATTCATTTACCGTGAATTAGCACGTTATCCGGTCGTGATTATCAGCTGTCCACCATCGCATTCATTAGTGTTGACGATAACACAAGTTTGTCTTATCCGGCGGTCGGTAGATAGGACAGGTCAAGGGGTTCAGCACCGCGAGACACGTCGGCGACTATGTAAACCAGTTCATCTGTGACTTACATCCGCCGTACGTGTCGTCGAGTTATACCCGCACCTTACAGTTTACCCGTCTCATTTATGTGTTATAAACTATAATATTATTATAACTTTAAACAAAATAAATAGACTCCATCAGTCAGAATATAACGGTGTTGCATTTTTACATCTAAATTTAGCATTAAACACCTTTATACTGTGTCAAATTTTGTGCTGGAATTAATTTATTACTATGGAAACAATTTGTTTTTCTTTTTTCTTCTATCTCATATATTTAATTTGATATTTGTTTTATTATTCGGAAAGGACCTCTTCTAACTTCATCGAACTTGTTCCTATTCATTTTGTTGCCATTTTCTATGTATACTAACTCATTTTCTTTAAATGTATATTCTTTTCTTGTTTTGTCTACTCTTTTTTTATTTTTTTTCATAATTTTTATTAGAATTTATTTTAGCTTGTTCTCTATCTTTTTCTAAATTAAAAGTTTTTACTTGAAGTTCATTTGGTACTATATAAGACTTTACACCAAATAATAGATAAGACGGTGAAAATTTTGTTCCACTATGTGTTGTATTTTTGTATTCCTCTACACATTCCTCCTCTATCTTAGACCATGCTTTTTTTTCTCCACTATTAATTTTACATCTTATTCTGTTTACCAATGTTTGGTTTAGTCTTTATTTAATCCATTTGATTCTGGGCAATCAACTGATGTAAATATTAATATTATATTCTTTGATTACATATAATGTTTGACTTCTTTGGATTTAATCCGTGTATATTGATCCGCCAAAACCATTTTTATTTGGTGCTGTCTTGCCACCAAATCGACTAATTTGATAAAATCTTTAGCACTTTGCCCTTTTGAAGTTAAAATAAATGCATATCTCGAGAAATGATCTACTAAAATATGTAAATACTTTTTTGATGACCTATTACCTCCAAAACCTCCCACTGTGTCAATGGACATAATTTCATAAGGTTTTGTCGCTGGTCCTAATTTTGAAAGCAAACCAATTTTTTTGCTACTTCTTGATTTATTTTTTTTACATATTTCACATGCACTACAAAATTGGTGAATAATTTTATCCATATTTTTGAAATAATAATAAGATCTTAATTTTTCATTTAAATGATTAGTACTAATGTGACCATAATATTCATGTATTTTCTTAATTAATAATAAACCAAATTCCTGAAAAATGTAAATTCTTTGTCTATTTTTAAGGTATTTAAATTTGATATTTCCTTTTTCAAATACTCTTTTAGAATCCTTAATCTCAATTGAATTTTTTTGTTGGTCACTAATTATTTCTTCTAATGTAACCATATTTACAACTTTTATTATATCTTCTTCATTTTCAAAGTTTTCTAAAACTGGATTTCTTGATAAGGAATCAGCTTCAATATTCTCCTTACCAGGTGCATATATAATCCTAAAACTATATTGTGAAAGGTAATATATAAGCTCTCCAATTGGTTCATCTGTCCTTGCTTTTACCTTTAACGTTTTTAATGGTTTATGGTCTGTAATTACAGTAAAAACTCTTCCAATTAACCAATGTTGCCAGTATACAATCGCTTCTTTTATCGCTAGACATTCTAAATAAATAATTTTTTTTTTTTTTTGACTGGAGTTTAATTTTTTTGAGAAATAGGCAACCGGATGGAGAATACCATTTTCCTGAGGTTGTTTTAAAACTGTTCCTATACCTTCTCCACTTGCATCAGTATAAATAAAACCTCTTTATTTTGGCTATATATAGATAGAATTTGGCTTGAACATTGGTATTTCTTCATATTATTAAATGCTTGCTGACACTCTATTGTCCAACTAAATTTTACATCTTTTCTTAGTAAATTATGTAACGGTTCCAGTTGTATTGCTGCATTTTGAATATATTTATAGTAAAAATTGATTTTCCCTAGGAATTATCTAATATTCATTTTATTTGTTGGTTCCTTAAAATCTTTAATTGCTTTAAGGTTATCTTTCAAAGGTGTAATTGAATATTTCTCAATTTTATGTCCCAAATATTTTAAGGAATTTTTTGCAAAATCACATTTCAACAATTTAAATCGAAAGCCTTCTTCATTAATTTCTTGTAATAAAGCTTCTATATGCTTCACATGTTGTTCAAATGTTTTTGAGAAAACTAAAATATCATCTATATAATTTATACAAAAATCATTTAAATTATATCTCCTTAATATATTCGCTAAGGTTCTTTGAAATATTGCAGGGGATATTTTTAAACCAAAAGGTAGGCATGTCCATTGCCAGTGTCCGTCTTGAGTCACAAACGCTGTTTCTTTCTATCTTTATGCCTAATTGGAATAGACCAAAATTCTGAATTTATATCAAAAGCTGAAAACCAGGTACATTCTCCTGCCTTCACCATTATGTCTTCAATTCGAGGAAATAGCTGTGGCTCAGGAACAACTAATTTATTTAATTCTCTAAAATCAATACATAAACGAGATCTACAACCATCTTCTTTTTTGTACACTAGTGTAACTGGGGCTGCAAAAGGCGAATTAGTTTCTTCAATAAGACCCGCTTCTAATAAATTTGTAATTTGCGATTATATTTCTTTTTGATCAGGTATTGAACATCTGTATGGTTTTTTTGAAATATATTTATCTTCTGTTAATTTAATTTGTGCTTCTTGATATTTAACTCTACCTACATCATATTTATTCTTAGCAAAAATTACTTTATATTTATTAATAAGGTTCATTATTATTATTTTAT